GTGATGCAGTTGGCATTCTAGGAGCTCTTTGCCTCTTGAGTGGGACAGATGTGGGACCAGGGAAAATGGCTCTGGGTCTAAGGTTGGCAGCTGTGTTGGTTCCAGGATATTATAGAGATAAGTGGTTGAGGTAATAACTTTTATTGGACTACTAACTTCTGTTGAACGCAAAGAAGAGCTCTGTGCAGCTCAAAAACTTGTCTCTTTTATCAAGAGAAATTGGTTCAATAATAAAAGATACTCATAGAATATCAGGGTTGGAAGGGACCTCAGGAGGTCATCTAATCCAACCCCCTGCTCAAAGCAGGACCAATCCCCAAGTTTTGCCCCAGATCCCTAAATGGCCCCCTCAAGAATTGAACTCACAACCCTGGGTTTAGGAGGCCAATGCTCAAATCACTGAGCTATCCCTCGCCCAATCTTGTCTCTCTGGGTCTAAGGGACAGCTGGAGGATTTGAGATGTCCACTGCTGAAAGGAGCCTGCATTTGGAAAAAAGCAGTTGCAGAATTTGAAACTGTTCCTTAGATTGGACCATCTACAGAGTTGGGGGTGGAGCGCTGCAACCCTATACTAATGTAAGAAGAAGCTTCAGGGCTTTGGTTGCTATATCTAAGTGCTTTTTCCTCTCCACTCCTATTCAGACATAGTGATTGCCATTAAAAGGTTAGGATGTGCCACCAGTTGACAGTTATTTCCCTGAACTAATAACAAATAGCTATAGTATTGCTGACTTTTAGCTATTGCTATATGCTTACTTTTTAACAGCAACTGCTGTAGTAAGCAGAAACATAGTGGGTGATGTTCCATTAACAGAGGGGGTGGAATGCTGTAGATGGAAGATTCTATGGCAGTCAAGAGTAAAAAGGAGAAAAATTGAGGGTAGTGACAGCACAGGGACTCCCTTGAGGAGAGAAGCAGAGAACAATCATTAAGGAGAAGGGGATAGAAGCTCAGGAAAAATGTGCAGGGATGTGAGACCCTGAGCTGATGAAAGAAAAGGAGAGGAGTCAGCAAAGTAAAGAATCAGTGAGAATGCAAAACAGACAGAAATCACCAGTGATGATAAGTGAGCATTTGTTTATCTCTCTCTATGGTGAGGACATATGAAGGATGTGAAGCGTTGCCAGACCTCTCTTTTGTTTAAACACTGAAACTATTTATTTCAAATAGAGTCTGCTGCCTTCTTGATATCTTGGAGACAAGAATTTAATATTTAGAAGAGTTGAAAGAGTGGTGCAAAAATAATTAAGAAAAATTGCCAATAGCCATTTAAAATAAGAGTGAAAAAAGGACAAACTAGATACAACGGTCTGCAACCTAGAGAGACTAGGAGTCATAGATGACTCATTAGGATAGAGGCCTGAGTGACAAGGATAATGGTGATTTGCTAACAGTGACAAAGAATGAGGGAAGTGGGGATTATGTGGAAGGAAAAATAAGGAGTTCAGTTTGGGCCATATTAAGTTTACTGTCAGACATACCTATACACACTATGGTTCAGGAAAGCACTTAAGCATATTCTTAATTTTAAGTAAGTACTTAAGTAACATTAACTTCCATGGGACTTAAACATGTGCTTAAGTGCTTTCCTAAACTAGTATCCCAGAGGGGAATGAAAAGGTAAATTTGCAAGGGATAGTAGTTGAACCCATTTGCATGAATAAGAACATTCAAAGAAAGAGTATAGAACAAATAAGAAGAGTAGAAAGAGAAGTTAAGAGTAATACAAAATATCTGATAGGTTCCACTTTTAACAGTAAGATACAGTACTGTTAACTGAGGGGGAATGTAATAGTGTGCTTACATATATGTGTACACTGGGTACATACCATACCTGAATACTTATAATCTTATTTATCCTACCTTGCCCGAATCCACATCTACTGTTTGGTACTCTCATACACTGAGTCATATCTAAAATTAGTCTGCAAACTCTGTTTCTTTATTAATTCAAAGAAAGCTTTTATTAAAGAATCTTTTTGTTTTATTTTACTTTAACTTTACATCCACCCAATAGAACACAAACCAGAGCCTGCAGCTCTTTTTGTTCTTGTCAGCATTCACAGCTCTGCATTGCTGTGTGCAACAGGAGATTTTGAACTCTCCAGCCGCATCCAGCACTCTTAAGAATAGCAGCTGCTCCGTAAGACCTCTTGGTTGTGGACGATATCTTTGTATTTGTTATGTAAACACCTGCCACACTTGGGGGGTGGGGGGGTGCACAAATAAGTGTTGCCAACTCTCATCATTTTTTAAAAGTGCCCTGGTAGTTGATGTTTTTCTTAAAGTACCAGCTGCTGAAGGAAAGTGATTAGGTGAAAATCTCAATTTTCATTTAGAATGAAAGTACATTTCTAGTTCTCATGGTTGCATAGAAAAATTTTAAAACATAACCTGAGTACATCCAAAAGGCCCAGAAGCCAGAAGACATAACAAGAAACAAAAATGCATTTTTTGAAAGCCCACTGATTTTTTTGGATCCTGTTTTTTTTAATGCCTGGGGTTAGCAATATTGACTCTCTGTGCCTCAATTCCCCTATCTGTAGATTAGGGATAATAGTGCTTCACAAGGATGTTGTGAGCATAAATACACTGAGGCTTCTGAGGTAACCAGTTACTATGGTAATAGAGACTACATAAGTATCTAACATAGATAATACACTTTGTCTCTCCTGCCATTCAAACAACAAGCACAGTGTTGTGGATGATGCCCCTTCAACAAGAGAGGATGGAAGATCAGTACCAGCACGAAAGGAAGTAATGGAAGTGTGGAAAGGCAGTGTGGTAAAAAAAGGAAGCAGCTGAAAGAGTAGGTAAGAGGAAGAACAGGTCCTGATCACACCATCAGTAGGACTCATTAGTGATTTCAGTGAGGGGACCTGCTTAAAATTTGATTGCACAATATGGCTGTCATAAATATAAAGGGAAGGGTAACCACCTTTATGTATGCAGTAACATAAAATCCTTCCTCGCCAGAGGTACAGAATCACTTTACCTGCAAGGGGTGAAGAAACTCAGATAACTTGGTTGGCACCTGACCAAAAGGACCAATAAGGAAAGAAGATACTTTCAAATCTGTGGGGGAGAGGTTTTGTTTGTGCTCTCTTTGGTTGTTCTCTCTCTGGACAGAGAGACCAAGCAGGAAAACGATCTCCTGAAAAGATACATCTAAAATTACAGAAATTGTAAGTAAAGGCAAGGAAATGCGTTAGATGATCTTTTGGTTTAGCTTGTGAATTTTCTCTATGCTAAGAGGGAGTTTTATTCCTGTTTTTTTCACTTTGAAGCTGAGCCTAGAGGGGAATCCTCTGTGTTTTAAATCTTTTTATTTACCCTGTAAAGTTACCTTCCATCCTGATATTGCAGGTGTGATTCTTTTACTTTTTTAAAAAAATAAAGTTCTTCTTTTAAGAACCTGATTGATTTTCAGTGTCCTAAAAACCCAGGGGTTTGGTCTGTGCTCACGTTGTACCAATTGGTTAGGATATTATTCTCAAGCCTCCCCAGGAAAGGGGGTGAAGGAGCGTGGGGGAATATTTTGGGGAAATAGAGACTCCAAGTGGCCCTTTTCCTGAATTCTGGTCTAAATCACTTGGTGGAGGCAGCAATACCGTCCAAGGACAAGAAAAGGATTTGTGCCTTGGGGAAGTTTTAACCTAAACTGGTAGAAATAAGCTTAGGGGGTCTTTCACGTGGGTCCCACATCTGTGCCCCAGAGTTCAGAGTGGGGAGGGAACCCTGACAATGGCCCAGTGACACAAATCAAGCTGAGCAGATGGAAGGTCTGGAGCAAAGAGAAACCAACAGAATGGCATACACTACACTAGTCTACACTACAAATAATATGTTGTTATAACTGCGTTGATCTGGGGTATGGACCCTGAAGCCAGGTCTACACCATAAACTTACATGGGTATAACCACGTTGTTCAGAGATGTGAAAAATCCACACACCTGAGAGACATAGTTATACTAATCTTAACCCGGGTGTAGACAGTGCTATGTTGATGAGAGGGCTTCTCCAGCTAACAAAGCTATGGCTTCTCACAGAGGTGGTTTAACTGCTCTCCCTGTCGGTGTAGTAGTGTCTTCACTGAAGCGTCCAATCGGTGGAGCTTCACCGTTGTAGCATTTTAAGTGTAGACCTGCCCAGAGTAATGCAGGTGTACACTGCGGATGTACACTGTGCTATGTTGACAGGAAGGTTTCTCCCATTGACATACTTACCACCTCTCAGGGAGGTGGAGTACCTAGGACGACAGGGATAGCGCTTGTACAAACAATGGTGCAGCTGCACTGCTGGAAGCACAGATAGGGCTGAGAATGAAAACCAATCTCTGCAATCCCCCTGAAAAGAGAAGTGAGCTGATTCTCTCTCACTGCCCTGAGCACGTGGAAGGGTTTAATTGTTCAAGCTTACTTTAGGACCCCAGAGACAATTCATCTTAATCTAAAGCAGTAAGGAATTGACAAGTGCAGGGGGTGATGCCAGGCCTGGGGAGGAAGGAAAGTTTTTGAGTTGGAACACAGGATTGGGAGTCACAACGTTGCGATTTTCCCCCCTTAACTCTGCCCCACACTGCGCGCAGTTGAGCTCCGGCAGGTCCCGCTCCCTCTGCTCTGGGGCAATAGCGCTCCCCCGCAGAGGGCCCTGAGGAGCTGCGCTGGTCAGCAAGGACAGGGAGGCAGCATATACCAGGAAGGCGTAGGCACGATGCCCTGGGTGCCGCTCCGAACTACAGATCCGCCGGGGCAACGCGGGCGCCCCCAGCTGCCAGCGACCCCACAGCCCCTACCCTGGCCACCCCGCCAGCGCTGCAGCGCCACGGCCCCTCGGCCGCGGCTCCCAACGCAAGGAGCGCTCGGGGCTTCCGACGAGCAAGCGCGCCTGCGCAGCAACTACCAGGCGCCTGCGCGTTGGCCGCGAGCGCGAGACCCCCCCGAGGAACAGCGCTGCTGGACCGTTGGGCTGCCGCGGCGTCGGCTGAGGGCGGCGCTGTCATTCCCGGCTCGGGCCCTGGAGCAGGCGCGGTGGGAGCTACTCGACGCCCCGTAAAGCGAGGGGAGAAGCGGCGGCCGCGGCTCCAGCCCGCCGCCTTCCAGCACCACATGGCGGCGGCGCTAGCAACACAAACGCCGCCGCCGGCCCCGCCCCCGGGGCGCTCACGGCTGCTCTAGGCCACGGGGAACAGCGACTCCCGGCCCGGAGACTCCTCCTCCTCCCGCGGCGCCTTCGGAGTCCCCCCGAACGGGCGCTGCGCTCCCCGCCATGCCGCGCCCGGGCCGCTGCCCCTCGTCCTGGCTGCTGCCCGCGCTGCTCTTGCTCGGCGGCGGCGCCTCGCTGCCCCCGGGATGCAAACAGGACGGCCGCCCCAGGAGCCCCGGCAGGTCCCCGGCCGAGGGGAAGGTGGTCTGCAGCAGCCTGGAGCTCGCCCGAGTCCTGCCGCCCGACGCGCTGCCCAACAGGACGGTCACCCTGTAAGTACCGGGGGGGACGGGACGGGTCCCTCCGGGTAGGCGCACCCCGCTCCAGGCAGTTTCTGCCTGCGGGACGCGGGCCCGCCCCAGTCTGCAGGGCTGCGCTGGGACAGGCGGCTGCCCTGCCAAGTACCGCGTTAAGCGCCTGCCATCGGCCTTAGCGCAACGTGTGCGGGGAGAAGCGACCAAAGGCGAGTCTACTCCTGCCCAGCCATTGCCCCCAGACCCACCGAGCATGTAGCTGATGGTGACTGCGGCCAGGAAAACACGCCCACTGGGGAGGTGGTGCAGAGGAGCACCTTTTGTTTTGGGATCCCTCCAGGCTGTTTATTATCTAGTTTTATTTCTAATATTTATGCTCTATGTTTAGTTTCCTGGCGCTGGTGGTGGTTCTTAAGGAAAAGAGAAACCTAGAGCTAATGTAGGTTGTGCATTTTACAAGAGTAGAGCATCTCTCTCGGGATGTATCATCATCTCAGGAATAAATCAAAAGGAAAACAGAGGCTAAGGTTACTCACCAGCTAGGAGGGAGTGTGTGGAGACCGTCTAGACTAGAGCAACTGGATGTGAACTAGCACTTAGGGGGCTGGGCTGCAGTTGGGTGTCCCGCCCTCACAAATTTAAAGGGCCAGCTACTAACTAGACAAATATGCTGGGAAGACTTCCTGGAAAAAGGGTGAACCCACACTTGGGTACTTATTAATCCCCATTCCGGTAGTTCTAGTTGAGAACTTGTTTCTGTGGTGGAAGATGTGTGGAAAAGACTTCCTAATGTTTTCGGTGCTAGAGTTTAATGTCTGGAAAAAAAATCCTTTGTTTTGTCTTTTTTTCTAGAACAAGAATATGATATTTGATTTAGGTGTTAGTTTAAAGATTACTGCTAGTATCGAGTCATTGAACATTTTTTTTTAAGTTGTAGTGTGCATGCTAAAGAAAACATGTTTAATACTATTAGTGTGTTTTCTTTTCATATTTGGCTTGATTTTTTAATTTAACCGAGACTTACAGCCAAAGAAAAAGCATAGCCTAAAAATGTCAGTTATTATATTTGAGATTGTTGGAGGAAAAAGCACTGAGTGCTAAGTATTTTATTCAACTTTGAACAAAAAACAAAATCAAAACTTGAAGGCCCACAACTTCAGATTTATCCTAAATATAAACAAGTCTGCTAGAAGTTTAACAAGTAGATGGCACTACATGCTTACATTTTTTAATAGTAGAAATTAAATGAAAATGAATGGCCTAATATTAAGCCAGTTTAAAAAAAAAAGAGAGAGAACCATTTTTATCATTCTGATTTTCTTGAAGTCTTAGTTTGATATTGTATAAAATCCATCTACACCAGATACTGTTGTCTGGAAGCAATGAATCCGCAGCTGTTGTAGCTTGGATAGAATAACATGGTTTTGGAATTATTAGAATGTAAGGCCTAGCATATACTTACATATGCTGTATGCATGTGAACTAGTCCCACTGAAATCAGGTGGACAACTCACATTTATAAGTGTCTGTAGCATTAGGGCGTAGATGGTTCTTGGGTTTGAAGTATAGCCCTTGGAGAATAGGGAAATGTTCTCATTCCAAGGCAAGTCAGATTTACTGTAGCAAAAGGGATGCAAGCATCATGTTGCATTATGTGAGTGAGCTCAAAATGGATGTGATATCAAGAAGTCCATGAAAATATAGTTGGAAATTGATATAGTTATATCTTCTGCTAGAACTTTGAAAAATCCACTCTCCGATAGCAAGTGGAAATCTTTCCTAGCAAACATGGAGTCCTAAGCCATCAGTTTCTGCAGAATTTAACTTTTAATTTAAAAAAATGAATGTAATGATATATTTTCCTCTGAGTGCAGATAGACCACTTAAGTACCAACACTCATAGCTTTGCCCAGTAGTAGCAGCATGAAACTAACAGGAATCTGGTCAGTTTCACCTCTGTTATTCAGAAACTTAATTAAGTTAATATCAGCAGTGATATTTTTAAGTATGCTGTCAATGTCACAGTGTTACTGCTTCTGGAAAGCTATCAGCAGCAGAGGCATGAACTACAACTATGGGAAAAGGGGGAAGGAAGGAAACAAACAAACAAAATAGGAGGATGGGGAGGTGTAAAGTATTGGAAACCACCAAGAAGCTCTGGGGTGGGAGGGAGAGAAGAAACAAAACAGTCCTTCTCCTTTTCAGCAGCTAGAGGCTACTGGAGCTACACGTTCATCTAGCACCTACTAACCAGAGACAGATGTGAAAAATAGTTCCGAAGCAGATACAGCACCATGGCAGAGATCCTCAGATCCATCTGCTTGCATTGAAAAGGGGTTGGGCTTCTCGCCAAGGTGCTACTCCAGGTCTTGAGGGTGAACATATTTCTTTCTTTCATATCTACCTCTGGCAAGTAGATGTCAGGTACATTTTCAAGTACTGTTTACTACTATCACAGTTTTAGGGCCTTAAGTAGTTCAGAAGACAGAAAAAGAAGAGAGCAGGATAATGTGATCGTGGAACTGACAGACACTACGTACACACACACACAGTTGAGAAGAATTACTTGATTTATTTTGTCGTGCAGAATTTCTTCATTAGTCAATGTATGTAAATAGAAAACTTTGTAAATTACTTTTGTTTTTAGTTGGATTGAGGTTTATAATTCCTGTTGAAAGTTGCTTTTTCTCTCTGATCATATTTTCCCTCTATTTCATGTATACGCTAGTCTTTGTAGATTGCATTTTTATCACATATCTTTAAGTAGATGCAGTGTAAGGAAAAAACTTGGCTTTCCATAGCTTGTCTATTTCTAAAATTAAGATAATATCTACTACACAAATATGTTGTGAGGACTAATGTATAACAGTGCTCTGAAGCTGGAAAAGATAAATATTTAAAAATCTTTGACTTGTTTTTGAATTCAACACATTTTCTATAAGACAGTTGCCACCATATTCTGTTATGGAATATACTTTTTGAAAGATTTAGAACCTTGTGTTGTCATTTATGACCCCCCATATTTTTTGAGAGGTCTGTTCCTTTATTGAGTTTACCAATGGTGTACATGAAGAACGTTATAGATAATAAAGGTACTGAAGGCTTCTGAAGTACATTGTTAAGCACCATGGATGCTGGAAATTGTGCCATAGAACTCTCACCTGCAACTTTATCAGGTTGGATTAGTAATTGCTTAGGATTTGAACATATTTTGCTGGCAAGTAGCATATTTTAAAGCTAACATATCACTTAATAGTTCATCGTCTGGGTTGATAGGAGAAAACTTAATGGAAGGTTGTGATTTGGGACAAAACTGCTCATTGATTCTTTGTACTGAAAAAATCCAACAGGAATGTAGATGAAAGAGAAACTTTGTTGTATTATTCTGTAATATTTTTACTTTGCCTATCTGTAAATTTTTATTATTGATGGAAATATTTTTCATCAGATTGGGTGCATACGATGAAACTGGTGTTCACCAACATTTACTGATAAAATCTAACACTTCCAAGCCTAAGCATGTTTAATATAAGACCCGAAAAGGCCTTTACATTTTTTTATTAGAAATTCAAGTCTAGTCTGTCAAGTCTTCCAGGAAAAGCAGGATTATGACAGGGAACCTAGTAGGATTATGACATCAGATGCACCAAGCCAGTGAGAGAGGAAGCAATATTTTAAGAACATAGAATTTGCCAGAATGGTCTCGATCAGTGGTCCATCTAGTTCAGTATTCTGTTTTAGCCACTATCAGAGGAAAGTACTCAAGTAGAGAGTTATGGAGTGACCTACCCACAAAGAAAGTTTCTTCCCAACCCCACTAGTTAGGAGCTGGTTTATGTCTTGAAGCATGTGGATTTATCTCTTCCAGACCCTTGATTTATTAATTTTGCTTGTTTTTTTAAAATCTTTGCTATTCTATCTCTGTTCTTATCTGTATAGCCAATCCTTCTTTGAATCATGGTAAGCTCTTTGCCTCCATGATGTATGGCATTCCACAGGCTAACCGTGTGTTAAACTTGCTGCTTTTCAGTTTCACTGAATTTTCCCTTACTCCTGTTATGAGAAAGATCAAATATTTATAGTAATTCTACCTTCTCTATACGATTCATTATATACCACATCCTTAAAAATCTTCAAGTTCTACAGCAAAACCAGAAAATATAACTTGACATTCCTGATATCTTCAAAATAAAATAAAGCAGAAAAAAAAATCTTTCTTTGTAGAAACATAAAGGCCAAAAATAAGAGAAAAGGTGGAGTGCACCCCATATATTTTTCTTTGTTATGGGTTGGGTAAGAACCATAAGATCAGCTGTTTTTGTTTTGTTTCCCGCTCTCTTACATATGTTCAGAATTTACTGGGTTTATAATTCTTATCTTCAGTTATCATGCAACAGGACTAAGGCATCACGTCCAAATGGGCTTAGAATAAGAAGCATGTCAACTCAGCAAAACCTGTGAAAGTGTGTTTGCAGGTGTTGTATAATTTAACTTTGTCATAAAAAGCAATGGTAAATTAGAGTAAATAACCTCTTCCTTGCTGTTTTCAAGATTAACTTAAAGGGGGAAACAGTACATTTAAAAATAATAGTTACCTTTGAAATTTTATACTTGTTTTGAAGAGAAGTAAGATCGCTAACAGATTAGAGAAGTTTTATTTCGTTCTTTCTTTTCAGTTTCTGTGCTTTGTGCATTTGAGAACTCTTTGTGTTTTTTTAGTAGTTTCACCGTTTTCTGTGTATAGTCAATTGCTTTTCCTTGCTGTTTGTGTTGGTCTTTCACGTGACAAGAGAGGACGAAGGATTTTTTTTAAAAAATTAAAGGGTTTTAAAACCACAAAAACTGGCCTGGGGGCTTAAGGGCAGGTGTAGAGCCCCCTGGGGACCGCCAGCAGGTTTCAGGGGGTCTGCCAAAACAAACCAGAGAGCAGGGGCGGCTGTTAGACTCACTGGGGCCCCGGGAAGAAAGCTGAAGCCCGAGCCCAGCCACTCAGGGTTGAAATCAAAGCCTGAGCAATT